CCAGCCTGCAGCTGCTCAGGCTTAGCCCACTGCCGGCTGGGCTGGGGCCCGCTTTGAATTGCGTTGTGCTAAAAGAGAGAGACATTGGCTCTCTTTATTTAGTGATGAGATGCCTAGTCTAGGAATCCGATTGCAAAAAAGAACCAAATGACTCTCTCTTTCAGTCTTTTACTTTGTTTCTTTAATTTTCTATCAAATTTATTTTTAAAATCTTTATCTCAAATCAATTTTAGAGACGTCAATCAATGTTGGGTTCTAAATTTTAAATTGGGGTCAATCCGTTAGGAATTTGTTTAATGAAGCCAATGAACCTCTTCACTTTGCTATAAATAAGAATCATCTCCCTCATATCTCGCAACTTATTCTTTCAGTCTAATTTATTTTTTCATACTCTTATCTTGATTATAAAAAGTCTCTTATACACGCTGTCAAAGTTTTCTTATGGAAAAAAATTCCCATTATTAAATGGATCCCTAAGCATACTCTTTTCAGTACTCTCTCTACTCATTCTTCTCACAGTACTCTCCATCTTTCCATCTGTTGCTGGTGGAAGTGATTATACACCTTTCTCACATTCCCACTGCTATTTCCATCAAGACGATGGCAGTAGTAGTATCCAAATCCAATGCACTCTATGATTTCTATTATCCTTCTCTCGTCGGCTTCTCTCACCGACTACATTATTGATCTCACATATATGACTCTCTTTACCTATCCAATAGTAGCCATAAATACTGCCTCTCTAGACTCTACTTCTAGATACTTTATTTCAAATTTCTCCGATGGAATGACAACAATCGTGTAGGGTGCTATTACCCGATTCTGACAGGCAAGACATTCTATCTCTTTACCCTCTAGCTCGGCCTCGGCCTCCTCAACATCCATCTCCGACTTCTCAATCTCAGAGTTCAAAGTTCTGGATGCGCAAATTGAAGAAGAAACAACTGAAACAAAAACAGAACAATCCACTCCCGACAACCGGGGAAAAAAAAGAAGATACTTCATGGGTATATCCCTTTTTTAGAACTTCCTAGATGCGGTGAATAACAGATTGGCACGTTGTTTAGCATATGCCAAAACGCCTAAAATTAGGAAGAATTGCGAAGAGTTCAAAAGTAGGAAAAAATAAACTAAATATAATTTTATAAATATAATTCTATAAATATAAGTACAAATTTAGTATAGTTTAAAGAAGGGGGAAAATAAAAAAATTTGAAAAAGACTCATGGGCCGAGTAACAACCCATAGGTCGTAGGCTGGTTCTAGCTCTGCTCTGACTTAGGCAGGTCATGGGTCAAGTTGGGTCCAATTAGGACCTGGGATCAGAGAAGCAAGTCCAACTAACTCTGACTCATGCGAGCCCATATCAAACGCGACCCAACCTTGAACCTGGCGAGCTGCTTTATGGCCCTGAACTAGCCCAACCCACGCCCATGCCTAGCCCATGCCCAACCCTAGTATTAGGCTTCATCTTGTCTAAGTGGGTGTTTGATTCAATTTCTATAAATTATAGGAAATGTTTTCCACCCAAAATATGATTTCCTTGTATTTTTAAAGAAAAATTATAGGAAAAGTTTTGAGAAGTCAAAAAGTATCAATTTTCTTGTTTTTTTTACTTTGCTTGTTTGGTTCAAAACAAGAAGATAACCCATAACTTTATAAAAAAAATCCTATAATTTGTAGAAATTGAACCAAACACCCCCTAAATTTATAGAAAAATGTTAACTTTATAAAAAAGTGTCAATGTGGTGTCAGCTTTCTGGGTGATTTTCGTCCATTTTGAGAGGAAATTGATTTCTGTAAATTTTGGTACTTTTTTATTTTATAGAAAATATTTCTGTAAATTTTTTTTGAACCAAACACGGTTTACGGAAATCTACAGAAACTTTTTAATTACAGAATTACCATTGTCAGACATTTTGAGAAAACGTTTCTATAAAATTGTGCAACCAAACACCCCCTAAGGTAATGACGCTAGTCTAGTTTGTGGATATATCTAAGGGTGCATTTGGCGAACTTGTAAAATTGGGTCATGTTTGGCAAATTCCCAAGCTGCGTTTTTGGGCCCAAAAATTAGCACTAAGACGGTTTTTCTTTGGGATCGGAGAGAGTTGGTCCAAAAGAAAACTGGCTTAGCACAAAACTGGGTCAGGACAGTTTTGCGTAGTTTGCCGAACACAACCTGAGGTAACTTGCACTCATCCCATCAATTTGCAAATTTTTCCATCAACTAAATGTATAGTAATCCAATACAAAAGACAAAATACAGAAGGCTAATCCTCCTGCCATGCGTAAGAGTTAGCTTGAACAGTAATTCGATTACATTCCGTGCGAATATGAACCTAAACTTTGGCATGGTGGCGTCCTAACAAAAAGCATGCCGCCACCGAAAAGCGTGGATGCAG